ATTTTACAATATCACCCCCTAGAGGAAACTCTATCACTTGAAATTTTAAACTTTTAGTTACAACAAACTTAAAAACAAAGGAAAGACCTACTGGATTTACTTACAAAATCAAATCTTGCAGTGCAAAAAGAAAATTACCATTGACCATCTATTGTTCTTTTTAGTAGTGACTCCTGCTTTCTGGTTTTATTAAAAGTGTGTGTGTGTGTAGGTGGGAGTAGAAATAGAGCTCACAGGTAGTAACAGAATACAGTCTTAATAAGAGAAACTGTGGAGTGTGTCCTTCATTACCACTTAGGACTGAACCAGGTTACTGCACTGACTTTTCTCCCACTTAATTTACCACCAACTTAACACTCTTATTCATCATTCACAATGGTGCTCACCCAACAACCATTTCTCTAATTACAATACTGACATTTTTTTTGGGGGGGGGGTAGAGTTGTGAGACTTCAAGTCAGGGCCTGGGTGCTGTCCCTGAGTCTTTTTGCTCTACCACTGTGAGCCACAACTCCACTTCTGGTTTTTCTGGTGGTTAAATGGAGATAAGGGTCTCATGGAATTTCCTATACAACCTGGCTTTGAAATGTGATCCTCATATCTCAGCCTCATGAGCAGGTAGGATTATAGGCATGAGCTACCAGTACCCAGCTACTACTGACAATTTTTCATTCAATCAGTATTCCTCTGACAGTTTTCATTGAGATCCTGGTCACTTAATAACAGGACAAAATCAGGAATTCCAAAGGAAAGAACTGACACAAAGGCTAAGAGCTACAGTTCATGAACAAACAAAATCTGAGAAGCAAATCTCTACACATTCACAGCAAAGAGGAGACAGGCAAATAAAACAAGTAACTAAAACCCATAAAAGACACCATGAAGATAAACAGAAGATACATCTCAAACAAGGAGGACTGAGAGAAGGCCTCCAGCTAAAAAGTGATATTCAAGGTTGTACCATAAGGATAAAAATGAAGTAGGGATGGTAAGTAAAAGAAGAGGAATAGAGGCAGGCACAACGGAATGCTGGAAGATGTTTGTTTGTTTCATTAATATAAATGTTTCTACACTTACATTTGTAGATTGAAACTGTCAATATAGCAAACTTCAAAATATCTTTCTGGGGTTAGCTTTGCCTATACGACAAAATCTGGTACTTTCAAAACATTTATCATACATGCAGTGTAAGTAATAAACATGGACTCAAATATTTTCTGGTTCCATTAAAGAAAAAAAAAAAGGAGCTAGGCCCCAGTGGCTCACTCCTGTAATCCTAGCTACTCAGGAGACTGAGATCTGAGGATCAAGGTTCAAAGCCAGCCTGGGCAGGAAAGTCTGTGATACTCTTATCCGCAATTCACTACCAGAAAACCAGAAGTAGCACTGTGGCTCAAGTGGTAGAGTACTCGCATTGAGCTGAAGAGTTGAGGGACAGCGCCCAGGTCCAGAGTTCAAGCCACAAGCTCCAGGACCGGCAAAAAAATAGAAAAATTAAAATACCACAAATACAGATACAAAACATTCGGAAAATTCTAAGAACACTCTTAGTATATACTATTTCCCAAACACAAGTTTTCCACAACTGCAATTGCTAAATTATAGATACTTTACATTTTGCCAAAATGCTTTCCAAAGTGTCATACTAATTTGCATAGTCAAGTCAGTGAGGAATATCACGCTCATCTGCACCGAGTTAAAACTGTGCACTGACAACTAATTAAGATGAAAGTTAGTAATGAGCAAGTTCTTTCAGTAGTTGCATATTCATGTCTGTTTATTTATTCATGGGAAGTGTAGATCTTTTTAAAAATGGGTTTGTATGAGTACTTTATACATACCAGTGGTACTATCCTTTTGCCTTGTGTATTGAAAATACTTTTCCCAATGTAATATCTGTTATATTAATTTGCACTGGATGTGTCACAGAATTTTTAAATGTTTATAGTCCACTCCATCATTTACCACTTACTCTGGGTTATTTGACCATGCATAATGCACTAAGCAGATGTTTCAGAGGCAAAAGGGATTACTTGTTTGGAGTAGAAGCCAGGAAACTACAACTGTTTAGATATAAAATATAAGGTACCAGAGAAACTGAGGAAAAATATAGAATGTAAAAATGTGAGCAGTATGTGAGAAGGAAAAGTGCACCATCTAATTTCCAGATAAAAAATTGTACCAACCTTCATAAAAAGCACAAATGTCTGCCATGTCAAGATTTCTTTAATCCTCCGAAAGAGACATCTGCTGCTTTCTAATTTGTAACCCAATTAGCATTTGGGCAAATAGAAACAATCATCTCAACTATTTTAAAAACTAGCATAATGCTGTCACCCAAACTTTCAACATGGTAATTCCTTAAAAGAATCAGCTGAAGTAGCCTTGGAGAATAGAGAAATAAAATGGATTAGGACTTTAAAAATACACAGTCATATATAGACTTGGTGTCAGAGAAAGAAAAAAAAAATCACTAAAATCAAAACCATTCTGTATGTAAAAACAAAAAGATAAAGCTAAAGACTGGGAGAAAGTATTTCTGAAACAAATGCCTGATAAAGACTAATAACTAGAATACATGAAGAACTTTTCATTGCATATGATACACATATATTAAAAGAAGTACATGTAAAGATGTTCAACATTAGACTCATGGAAATAAAAATTAAATTGTCTATTTATTAAAATGACTAAATTAGGAAGTAATGACATAAAATAGTGGGGAGAAAATGGTGAAACTGGGTCCCTCATACTGGCTGTCAGTGAGAACGACAGGAGAATCACATTTCTGGTCTTTCATTTCAGAGAAATAAAAGCACAGGAAAGTACAGGTGAATATGATAGCTTTACTTATATATTCACTAATCAGAAACAACCCAAATGTGTTGAACTTAAGTTTGAAATTAAGAATTTTCGAACAAGGGTTTCATATAGTTAAAAACCAGACTGTGACCTGGGGAAACTTAACAAAGGATTAGTATTTATTACAAGGAAAGACAAAGAGTACAATAGAAAAATGGGCAAAAGCAATAAATAGGCATTTCAAAAGGAAATCACATTGCTAATTAACATATGAAAAGATGGGGAATCTTATTAAGTCTCAAAGAATTGCAAATATCATTCCCATGAGACACCATTCACTTCTACTAGAGGAGCAAAAATGAAGAGGAGTGATGAGTTCATCAGTGTTCATTTTCTTATTCCTTAAACTCTGTATGGACAGTATGCAAGGATCCATTATTATTTTTCATAACGAAGTGTGACTAAGTGTCAAGAGAACTTACCATGGAAGTGTTCAGTGAAAGAGTGGGCATGGAAACCAGACTGGCTGGAAAGTCTCTCCAAGGTAAGGATGGAAAGACAATGGAAGGACCATGTCAGGCTATTGAGGTCTGGTAAACAATTCTTTAGGGAAAATCATTTATTCATTTTTTAAATAAGGGAAAATAATTTATTCATTTTTTAAATAAGGGAAACTGGAACAAGCTTAGAAAGAAATAGCCAGAAGAAGACATAGGAAATAAAAGCTCCCAGGGTATGTAGTCACAAGGGTATGTAGTAATAATGAGTCCAAGAACGGGGAATAATGTTCCAGGGAAACAAGGGGCCCTGTTTCACTGTTAATGAGGTTACTTCTTTGTTCTTATCATACCACTTTCTCCTGGTGCTATCCATTCAAGTGACAATGGTATCCAACCTCCTCTTTCAAGCAGGCCTCTGCCTCTTTTTGTTCCCTCAGAAAAGAATATTCTTTCTAAAATGTACACGAGTGCCTTTCACCCCTTTCTTTGCTCAAATGTCAGCTCAGTGAAGTGTCCTCTGACGACATTAAAAGTTAAATTCCCTCAACACATTCCACAACCCCCATCCTCGTACTCCTTGTTTATCTTTTTTGGTTGTTGTCTAGTATTGTTTGATTCCCTTACTCCCACTGTACGTAAGCTCTATGAATACAGAAACTAGCTATGTAGGTAGTAAGGCTTGCTACAAGGTAAACATAAAACTACAGCTACACTGGGTAGTAATGCTTGGTATATGGCAAAAGCTCAATAAATAGATGTGGAATGCATGAATAATGGTCCTTTCTTGTGGAACTTGAAGAGCAAATATAGTGTCAATAATGCTGTACAATTTTAACTACAGGAGCTTCAACTCGCAGTATAATCAAGTTGCTGCCTACAGAAACAGTGACAATTGAGACAGGCCTTTGAATGTGGAAAAAGACGGCTATTCCTGCACCTTTGAGAAGGGGGTGGGGTGGGGTGGGGAAGATGTCCAAGAAAGGCAGGCATGAAGATGGACTAGGTTTGAGCTCTCTTGAGAATGTCCACAACAAAGCACCTATCGTATTCAACTTCTCCAATCCAAAGCCATTTGGTTTTCTCTGCGGGAAAACGAGGAGGTGTAGTAAATACAAGACAAGGTTTACATAAAATTACCAGCACGAGTCCTTCTGTGAAGGGAAAAAAGTCTGAACCAAAGGCACCTGCTTTCCCACGAGCATCACAGCACGGTGGGAACACTGCGTTCAAACGGTCACATCCAGCCCTGTGGCCGCGGATGCTCTCCGCTCCCTAGCTTGGCCCGTCAAGGGGGCCGGCCTGCGTGCACTCGCTGCCGTGCTCAGCGAGGTCTACCGGGCGGCTTTCTGCACGGCACCGCGGCCTGCGCTGGCTGGCTTCGAACGAGGCCCCCGAGCAGGGCCCTGCAGGCCCGGCCAGGGGCCGCGCGCCCTCCAAGGAAGCCGGAGCCACGTCCGCCCAGGGATCTGGACCCGGGAGGATGCCAGGCAGGGAGCCCGCGCATACTTCCGGTGCCTGGGGAACCCCCCGGTCAGGCTCCCCAGGAGGGGGGCGGGGAAACCCAGGACTGGCCCGGGGCGGGTCAGAGGTCAAGGCCCGGGGGGCGGGGCGAAGGCCCGGGGGGCGGGGCGTGCCCCGAGCACCCGGGCCAGCGTGTGGGCCGCACCGTGTAGGGACGCGCGGCTCGGGAAGACTCACAGTAATAGGCCACCACCGGGTCCCGCTTGTCGTGCTCCTGGGCCGTCCTCAGGTGATGCTGAATGCTCTTAAACGGCGGCGGGAGCGGAGGGAGCGGAGCCAGCGCGGCCATCGCCACTCACGGAAGCAGCACTTCTCACTCCGACGACACCGGAGCTTCCGCTTCCGCCTGGCTGGGTAGTGTCGCGAGAGCTCGGGGAAAACCCCGCCCAGTCCCGGGTTGCTTAGCAACGGCGACTCCACTACAGTTGCCGGGACGGGATGAGCCCGTGGTCCTGGCTGCGGGAAGTTACAAACTAGAGAAGATCCAGTCTGTAAATGGCACCGGCGCTCTCTGCTGGTCGGAGCAAGAATAGCTTTCTTTTTTGTTTTTGTTTTTGTTTATATTGTGCTACAGGGGGAAAGGAAGAATAGATAGGAAGGAAAACTAGAGAAAATGTTTATGGACCGGCACAAAGAGTAAAGGCAGCTATCCCCTTTGGAATCATTTATGGATGTTTCACTGTTCATAGTGTCCAGGGTAACGTTTCTTTTTAACTTTAGAAACTTTATTTTGTTTTGCATTAGCACTCTGGACTCTGAGAAATAGTATTTTTAAATTGAAAAATGGTGTGCTTAAACGTTGGACGAAATTCCAAGGCTTACCCCCAAACTGAAACACCAAATACCTGCAACTTAAAGAAAAACGTACTTTTATTGTGAACTGGATAGGGTATTTTAGTGAAAGAATAAGCTGTAGGTTGCTTATTATAAGATATGCTTACATTCAGTATTTGTCTTAATGCATTGACTAATATTGTTGTACAGTGGGTATTAGCTTTCCTTTCTATCATCAAAGATTTCAGAGGACTTGAGCACCTTTAACTGCCTACATGTTTATTTTGTTTTGTCTCAGCTCCCAGTTTTGAAATGTTATCTTAAAATTAGTTTTTGTTGAGATTTATCTGTCTTCAAGAACCAAAATCTCAAGATCTGACATTTCCTTCTGCATTCTGCTTTTTCATCACTTCCACTATCCCACTTTGGAAAAAACTTGTTCCATATTTTTGTGTTATTCTACTTTGTGTCTTTTGTCCATTCTTCTAACAACTGAAGTTTATCATCTTCCTCTGGGATTGGCTTATTTCACCCAGCAGGAAATTGAGTTCTGCATAATTCCTCATTCTCAGTCATACATTCATTACCACTTGGTATTGAACCTTCCTTTCTTTGCTTCCTACTATGTTGGCTTTTCATTTAAAAGTTACTGGATTGGTAGAGAAACTGATGAGAAAAAAATGGAATACTATACACATCTTGTTTCTACCTACACAACTTTCATTTATTATGTGCTTAATTATTTCTTCATGCTCAATGTCTGCCCTGAAACTTCAGCCCACAAGCTTTGAAAAGGGTTCATATCCAGGTCCAAACTCCCTTCCCATGCCATGATTTAATTGTTCTGGTTTGGATCCTGTATGTCATGATTTTATTAAAGTCCTGATAAAATATGAATGGTATATCTAGGGATAAGACCAGTGCCCCAGTGAACGTCTATAGATGATTCAAGATTTTCCCACTCTCTTTGTGTGAGGCCATTACCATTGCCAAGGATTCCTTTGATAGCTTTGATTAACTCTATACTTCCTGCTAGTGGATTAAGATAATCAGATATGAATTATTTGGGCTATTTTCTGACATAGATCAGTGCAATTGTTTTTTGAGTGTAAAGAATGTTACTAAGGCAATATCATTAATTCATTTAATTTTAACCATGATCTATCAGAAACATCATTGTCATTGTGCAGATGAGAAAAATGGGGTGCATAGGATGTAGGCAACTTGTACTTGTTCTCTTCTTTGTGAATGCTGTATGCCTTAATGAGAGGATAGTTGAGAATTACAGACACTGATAGTGTAAGAGCATATGTGAAATTAGACTTGGAAACCAAATAAATATTAACAGAGCTTCAGTGAGTGCTTGACATTAAAAATCTAGCTGTTTTTGTTTCAGAGCTTGTGTACTTAACTATTACTTTTGCTGTTGTTGGTGGTGGTGGTCATGGGGATTGAACTCTGGGCCTGGGCACTGTCCCTGAGCTCTTCAGCTCAAGGCAAGCACTCTACCACTTGAGCGACAGTGCCATATCTGGTTCTCTGAGTGGTTTATTAGAGATAAGAGTCTCATGGACTTTCCTGCCTGGGCTGGCTTTGAACCATGATCCTCAGATCTCA